TACCAACCACAGGGACTTAGCTCATTTCTCACCTGCGGGGAAGAAGGAACACCCTGAGCATGAAATGTCTGGGGGGAGCCAGAGGGGGGAAGAAAATTTATAAGCAAGTACAGTGGGGCCTTGACTTACGAGTTTAATTCGTTCCGAGACCGAGCTCGTTAAGGAGCTCATTAACTCAAATTACTCTATCAACTCAATGCAAAAAATCGGCCGAGAGACAGCTGGTATCTCAAAAAACTTGTTAGTGGGGACACTCGTAAGTCAAGGCCCCACTGTACAAACACTTGCTCTACAATTACCACTGTGCCTCCTGGTCTTTGTATAGGAAATGAGGTTTTGCTGAGGACAAGGGTGGCAGAATTGCACAGTCAAATCGATATTCTCAGGGGAGGACAGGTCACAGTCATAGAGAAGCTCGCTGTGAGGAGGTGACTGATCCGTGGGTTCCTAAGAACCTTCCTAAAAGGTGCCAGGGCGCCCTGGCTGGATTGGCTCAGTGGATAGAGCGTCGGCCTGCGGACTGAAGGGTCCCGGGTTCAATTACGGTCAAGGGCACATGCCTGGGTTGTGGGCTCCATCCCCAGTGTGGGGCGAGCAGGAGGCAGCCGATCCATGATTCTCTCTCATCATTGATGCTTCTCTCTCTCTCCCTCTCTCTTCTTCTCTGAAATCAGTAAAATTTAAAAAAAAAAAACCAAAAAGGTGGCAGAGCCACCCTATACCTGAGTGTGTGTAAACTTTAGGGGAAAAAAATGTTTTTTCAAGCCTTCAGGACAAGGCAGTGGAGCCTTCTATGTCCATGACTCAGGTTCTAGTGACACTGTTTTGCATCTATTTCCCTAACAGCTGAGTCCCTGTGGGCAGGGCCATCGATGCTCATCTTTGTACCCGAGCTCAGCAAAAATGCAGGCAAACAGAGACACTGCTTTGTTAAGTAAAGCGATAGTCAATGAAAGAATGAGCCACATCAGTGTAGGGGTCAGGCAGGCAGGGGGCTTTTGGAAGCACGCGAGCTAAGACACCAAGGCCTGTTCGCGCTGCTTAACCCTTCATCTCTCTTTAAAACCGAGACCTCCTTATGCCTATATTCTGGGCGCCTATCTTATTCTCTTCCCCCGGAGACTAGAAAATCTGACTGCTAAAGCCTCGCGGGAATAGAAGTGATGGCAGCAAGGGAGACAGGAAGATGTCTCCAGCGACTGGGAGACTGGCACGTGAGGCTGCAGCCCCCCAGGGCCAAGTCCAGAACAGCTGGCGCTCCCAAGGGGCTCACTGTCAAAGGGCAGAGAAGTGGCTTTGCAGGAAACACGATGAAAGAACAAGAACAACGAAGACCTAAGGGACAGCAGATCAGATGAGAAAAATCCTCAGTCACGTGTGCGTTGTAATTTCCACGCCCCAGCAGGTACTGAGAAGCTAAATGAGGGTCTACCTATGCACTTCAGGAGACTAAAATGGCAGTGCTGAGGCGAGTTTTCCAGCTAAAGGGCAGATCTGTAGGGTATAGACAACCAGGAGGACTTAGAATCTGCCAATCTACAAGAACGTACAAAAACTTAGCACGTGGGCCTGACAGGTTTGGCTCAGTGGATAGAGCGTTGGCCTGCGGACTGAAGGGTCCCGGGTTCGATTCCGGTCAAGGGCATGTACCTTGGTTGCGGGCACATCCCCAGTAGGGGGTGTGGAGGAGGCAGCTGATCGATGTTTCTCTCTCATCAATGTTTCTCTCTATCCCTCTCCCTTCCTCTCTGTAAAAAAATCAATAAAATATATTTTTTAAAAAAATTAGCACGTCAACTGGTCCACAGGCCTCCTCCTAGAGACGGAAACTGAAGCCCCGTGAAAACAAGTGGTTTGGCTCCATCACAGCCCCAGCCCTGGGACTCTCAACCATAACCCTGAAAACCAAAAAAATCAGGAAAAAGTCCAGCCAGGCTTACGCATTCTGGGAAGATCTGAATAATCGGAGGCCTGACTGATTCTGTGTGGAAGTGTATCCGACACTGAATAATGGATTAAATTTTCAAGAACAAGGAGAAAAATGTTAAGTTAGGATCAGCGATATGAAGTCACTTGGAATGTGCGGTGAAGAGTGGTCAGTTAGTTACAAGGAGATGACTTCTCAACCCTGTAGATGGGCTGTGCGGAGACATTATACTCCGGAGCTTTTAAGCTTTTAAATGCTAATTCCCACCATGACTCTGGGGAGCCAGTCCCTTGTAAGGCCTTATTCTTCAAAAATGTCAATGTCATAAAAGCAATGAAAGCCTGTGAAATGCTCTAGATCCGTGGTTGGCAAACTGCGGCTCGCGAGCCACATGCGGCTCTTTGGCCCCTTGAGTGTGGCTCTTCCACAAAATACCACGTGCGGGCGCGCACGTACAGTGCGACTGAAACTTCGTGGCCCATGCGCAGAAGTCGGTATTTTGTGGAAGAGCCACACTCAAGGGGCCAAAGAGCCGCATGTGGCTCGCGAGCCGCAGTTTGCCGAGCCACAGTTTGCCGACCACTGCATGGGATATGCTTTGGCATCAGCCTGCTGGAACTGGTCACTTGAATTCTAACTACACGACCCTGGGCATGTTAATTTCTCTGTACCTTAGTTT